ATCACAGAATTCATCGACGTCGCAGAATCGCCCGCCTGTTTTCGCATCTGCCACATCAGGAAAAGGGGTTTTTGGATGTGTTACCACAGTTGATATTTCCGAAGCCGATTTCGAGACATGACTTGAAGAAACTACCAGTGCGGAAGGCATTCCCTTACCTCATGTTTACGCTAACCTTGCTCGAATAATTTCAGGTCCGAATACTTGGTATCTCGACAACTGCTGCGGTTGGCACATGTGCTCCGCAGAAACAAGCTTCATTACGAACCAGCGTCCACTTCGTCGTCCGATACCTGTGACAGTCGCAAATGGACAAACTATTATGGCACGTTCTGTTCGGAGTGTAATGCTCGAATCTATCGACACGGGATATTCACTACACGTTACCAATGTTCTTATCGTCGGTGGACTCGGCTTCAACCTTCTTTCCACGGCTCAGCTCCTGGCACACAAAATACGCACACAGGGCAATTGTGAAACAATGGATCAAGAGCTCTGGCACAGTTCAACAAATACTTACCTTGGTCGTGCCGCCACTCAACATGGCGTGAAACTTCTGCAGAAACAAATACTCAGGTTCATACTTACAAGACTTCCGCTGTTTTACTAGTCTACCATTCCGGTAAAGATCATGGACCAACACTTGAGGATTTCCAAGTGTTCGTGTTTGCAGTTTTATACTTAGTCTTCTACAATGTTGGAAATACCTCAAGGACTTAAGCGCTCCTTCGCACCCACGGACGAATTTCGGAGATGCACCTCTGTGCCGAGCTTCATGCTGAACAACATGAGATGGACCTGTTTGAAGAAAGACAACCAAGAAACGGGCAGCAACCGCTAGTCTTCTATGCTCAACGAAGAAACGACAACCGACGTGACAGGCAGAATCAACACGATACCCAAGGACTCACAATCGTGCCACCGTTCTGCCACAACTGTCAGACATCCGGACACTCCAAGGTTTACTGCACACGCCCCCGAGTTTATCGTCCAGTAGACCCAAGAGTCGCTTCCACTCAAGAAAAACCGCCAAGGCGTTCCTCCACATCTGCACAAAGCACACCGAATATCATCAATTGTATGGTACACATCGACAACTGCGCACCCGGATCACCACCCACTTACGCTCCAGACGAAGAAGAACTACCGCCGCCGAGCTCACAAGGCCTTCAGGTCAACCCGACGTACGCTGCAGTCGCCAACGCCGAACCCACCGGGCAAAACACCTGGTTCTTGGACAGCTGTTGCGGCCAACACATGTGTTCTTCCGGACGCTTCGTGCAACGAGAGCGACGTCTCAACCGCGATGTCATCATCACCGTCGCCAACAACGAGAACCTGAAAAACAAACAGACAAGGAGTGGTTCAGTTGCAGTCCATGGAAACAAATGTCGTCCTGCAACTCAACAAGGTTCTAATCGTCGACAACTTGGGATACAATCTGCTAAGCGTCAGCCAGCTAATGGAAAAGGGGATTCACCTGGAATGCATCTCGGACGCCAACGAATTCCGTCTTTACCACGGGAAGGGCGGCCTCTTCATCGGTCGCGCTCTCCTAAAGTCAGGTGTCTTCGTGTTGGATTTCGTCCCCAACCGCGGTACTGCCGACAGCGATGGCATCGTGTCGTTCGCCGCCTGGACACACCCGCCGGATCTTGACCCCAACTTCACCCCAGATGCATTCTGGTACTCCAACACCATACCTGCAGCAGAGCGAACACAAGCGTTAGCAGTCATTCCACAAGAAAGACAAGTACCAGCAAGCGTCCCTTCCCCGACATCACCTGCAGTAGCAGCAGCAGGACCCAGCCGTGTACCATCACCAGCAATCCGAGGACCGCCAACCGAAGCAGATCAACTCATGCCCATCACCCGAGAAGTCTGTCGAAGTCCCAACATGGTTGTCGTGTTCTTCTCCAACACCGATATGTACCAACGCTCACCCGGCCATCGCGCTCCCGACGACATCTGGCATTAACGCCTCGGGCATCCTGCGAACAACACAGTGCTACAAACCATCCAAGCCGAAGTACTAGAAAGAAACGCCCTTCTTACAACGAGCGGACAAGAACTTCGACGACCACGTGCACGATGCTTCACGTGCCCCGAAGCAGATCTTCCCCACCAACCTTTTCCGTCACATCACAATCCAAGCGCATCTGCATACGAACCGATGGAGAAAGTCTACAACGACATTTTAAACATGCCTCGAGACGACAGTGAAGCAGAATACAACTACGTCATAACGTTCATCGACGCAGCAACACGATACGTCTGGCACTACAATCTCAAGACACGAGATCAAGCGTTCGAAGCCTTCACGACATGGCTGCCCATCGCTGAACGAGAATCTGGCTCGAAACTCAATAGCTTCCAGTCAGACGGAGCACTAGAATACCAGTCACAACGATTCAGGACCTACTTGGGAGAAAGAGGCATCAGACGCCTGGTGTCACTGCCCTACGCTCACCAACAGCTGGGGGTCGCAGAAAGGATGAACCGGACCTTGCAGACGACGATGCGAAAGCTGCTCCTGGGGATGAGACTGCCCAACACACTGTGGCCAGACGCGATGACGCATGCAGTCCACCTGCACAATTTGCTGTCCTCATCATCACTTCCCAACAACGCATCACCGCACCTGCTGTGGACACGAAAAAGGGGCAGCACAAAATTACTTCGAGTTTTCGGCTGCATGGTACAGTATAGACCCACACAGCTCGAGCAGGACGCTTCACTCAACGAGCACGGTGGGGACTACACCTCGGCATCGCAAAACATTTCCAAGCATGGAAACTCCTGGACATACAAGACAAAAATACCGTGGCATCACGTGATGTGATTTTCTACGAGCGACTGACACTGCAGCATTACCTGGACAACGTCGCCAACACAGACGACCCCACCGACGGCTTCGCGGGCCTTCGCTCCTTCGCCGATCGTGCTGCCGAAGCTGACGCAGCAGTAGAAGACGTACTTGAAGCCTTGGAAACTGCCGGACCACTCCCTTACTGCCCCGTGCCTGTTCCCCTCAACGACGATAATCCTCTCGACAGTAACAACCTCGACACCTACTACCGCTTCGCTGAACAAGGTTACTCTACACCTCAACCAGCCGACACGAATGTCTCAGAACGCATCGGACCAAATTTCTTACCTGATCCAAAAGATGGCGACGAAGCAGCTTATCCCGGAAATGAAAATTCCCCTCGACACTCACCCACGGGCCTGCAGATATTTGGATTATGGGTCTCCGTCCAGCACCCGCCGCCGCCGTCTCCGCGCGAGCCAACGACTCTGTCGCAGGCTCTGGGGGGGGAACATAAGGCGAAATGGAAGGAGGCAATGGAAAAAGAACTGAAAGCTCTGCAAGACTGAAACACATGGAAGCTGGTACCTGCAACAAACATCAACGGGAAGAACGTACTCTCTGGGAAATGGGTGTACCGCATCAAGACCAATGCGGATGGCTCCATCGACCGCTTCAAAGCTCGCTAGGTCGTACGAGGATTCGACCAGCGATATGGAACCGACTACACGGAGACATTCGCCCTAGTCTCCCGACACACCTCCCTACGCATCTTGCTCGCCGTCGCGGCCACGAAAAATGTACCACTACGCCAGATCGATGTCGCCAACGCCTTCCTGTACGCACCTGTGGACGCCGAAATCTTCGTCGAGCAGCCCCATGGATTCATCGACGATCCCACAAAAATATGTCAGCTGGCAAAATCCCTCTACGGAATCAAACAAGCCCCACGGCTCTGGCAGCAGCACCTTCACGGCCGCCTCGTCAGAATCGGCTTCCTGAAGCTGCCGCACGACCAAGGAATGTACCGACTACAAAAGGGGGGGGATTTCGTCCTACTCATCGTCTCCGTCGATGATCTACTCTACGTCGGCTCCACTACCGACGTCGTCACCTGGTTTGAAGGGGAGCGGAAGAGCGACTTAACGCTTACGGTGTCTGACACCGTGAGCCAGTATCTTGGTCTGAACGTCGTCGAAGACGACTCGGCGTTCTACCTACATGCTGGAAAATACGCAGGCGTTGTTGCAAAGAAATTCGGACTAACGTCGACTGCAGTCGCGACTCCCTACCGCTACGGGAACAACAGCGGCACCTCCGCAAAACTCCCCGCGACGCAAATCCAGGAGTATCAGCAGAAGCTCGGCTGCCTACTATTCGCAGCAGTAACCTGCCGACCAGATCTATCTTACAGCGCAAGCCAACTAGCGACACATCTGAAGCAGCCGGAACAAGAGGATCTCGAGGAGTTCAATCGGGCACTGCTCTACTTTGTCTCCACGCCGACGACCGGACTTACCTACAGTAAAACAACGACATCGTCCGTACAACTACTCGGATACGTCGACGCCGACCACGCAGGAGACAAGGAAAATCGACGCTCAAGGACGGGCTACATCTACCGACTAGAGCCTATCGGGACTATCTCCTGGCAGTCAAGCAAACAAGAACTAATCGCGCTATCTTCAGCTGAAGCAGAATACATCGCTCTCTGCACTGCGACCAAAGAAGGACTTTACCTGCGAGAGTTGCTCGAGGAAGCGAAAATCGCAAAACCGCCTATCTTCTCGATATTTTGCGACAACCAATCCGCGATTAAAATCGCGAACAAGGACGGGTTCGCTAACCAAACCAAGCATATCGCCCTGCGGTACTTCTTCGTCAAGGATGAGATCGCGAAAGGAAGACTTCAACTCAGTTACTGCCCCACGACAGAAATGGCCGCAGAATACCTGACGAAGAAACTGGCGAAGGCAAAGTTCGATTACTGCATGTTGCTGACTGGGCAGATAAACGTCACCGAATCTGGACACGTCAGCACTCCAGAAACGAAGGGGAGTGTTGGAAATACCTCAAGGACTTAAGCGTTTCTGAAGTGTAACATCACACTCAAGTGAAGCCATTGAGAAAGCTTGCTTTCTTGTCCTTTGCAATAGGCATCGTTCTCATTTCAAGTGGTGTGGTACAATAGTCGCTTACTAGCTTATAAGAATCTAAACATACACGCATCATGATCCTAGTTGTGTGCTCCCGTTCAAGTGACCGGCTGTCCATTGGAGATGGGCGGTTGTCTAGAGGGGGGGGTGGGTGGGAAGGTTGACTGAGCCGTTTGAAAAATGAGAGACGTGGGTGGAGGTAAATGAGCTCCAACCCACGTATATGTAGTTGGAGAAGGGCGAGTAGAGCGCTTCGACGATGCCCAACGCTTCAGTACAATCAGCTTCGCTTTCACAATACACAATTTTTGAAAAACACTACGTGTGTTAAAAATTATAATATTGAGAAAGCTTGCTTTCTTGTCCTTTGCAATAGGCATCGTTCTCATTTCAAGTGGGGTCGTTGAGACATGTGCAGTGGGGGCTTGCGGTGGCGGAGAAGTGCCTCAGCATGTTGTGCAGAGGATGGTGCCGCCGACGGGTCTTGCAGGCGTCGAGACGCCCCAACCAGATGATCGGTCGCGGGCGTGACGTACATCTTTCACGGTTTCACTACGCCAACGGCCCAGGCGTTTGAAGATCCTGTCAGGAACCCCAGAGTTGGCAGCAACTGTGGCCGCGCCTTTCCGAAAGGAGTGGGTGCCGAGGTGCTCTTCTCCCAAACTGATTTTCGCGAAGGCTTCCTTGCACCAGTTGCGGATTGTGGTGTATGAGGGCGGTCTGGCTGTGCCGTGGCTCGGTAGGTGGGGTCCGAAGACCCGGATGAGCGGTCCCAAGGACTAGAGGCTGTATCCTGCGAGTTGGATGAGCCTCTGGGTGCCCTGGACCGGACAAAAGGGTCCGGGGCTTGCCGCGATAGGGATCCAGGTGCCTTGGCCGGCTTGGTCGGTTTTTGAGTGGGGGATGAGTAGCCACATCGCTTCATCTTTAAATTGGATGTCCTGCCATTGGATGGCCACCAGGTCCGAGTAGCGCAAGAAACCGGCGTACATGAGAATCGGGATCAGTCCTTTTTGGAACACAGCCGGGTTAGTTGACTGTAGGAAGGAGGCTGCCATATCGTGGACCTGATGGAGTGAGACTGGCTCTTTAATCCTGTTAGGGCGCAGGCAGTGTCGCTTCGCGAAGTCGCGCACTTGGGAGGTGAAAGGGCCGGTGGTTGGGCATGTTGAGCCTGTCATCCTGTGGGCAAAGCTCACGGCGGAGCATGTGAGCTGAACCACCGACAAGGAGGCCTTGCGTTGGATGACATACACAAGATAGAGCGCGAGGGTCATGTCCGATGCCGGCAAGAACGTTAGGTTGACCTTCGTGCAGAAGGCGCGGAACTTCACCCAGTAAGGCTCGTATGTTCGGATGGTCGAGTCGGCACGAGAGCGGGCGAGCATGGAAAGCAGGTCATGTTGGAGCTTTGGGAGCAGATCTGGGGACAGGCGAGGGAGTCTAGTTAGTCAAATATCACGCGGAGTGCGACGATAGTGCTGTTGGGTAATCCTGTGCCTGAGAATGCTTGACTATGTGTGCCGACTGTAAGACACTGGCTGCCGTGTGTAAGAGGGATATGTGCTTGGATGTGTGGGTCCCACGATGGAGGGGAGGGCTGGAGGAGCGGCCACCAGCTTGCGCCAGGCCAGTGTGGGACTATGAGGGTGAGAGATGCGCTCGTGCGTTGTGCGTGATGGAGTACTGCGGGGATGAGTTGGGGCGGTGGGAATGCAAAGCTGTTCTCAGCCGTCCAGGCAAGTGAGAAGGCGTCGGCTGCTGTAGCATCGGGGTGGGGGACCTTAGAGCAGAAACGCGGCAGGTGTGCATTTTGGGGGTTGTCGAATAGGTCAATGGAGTGGGGCCCCCAGCGACGCTCGAGGAGGCGAAACCATGGGAGCTTCAACGAGTAGTCATCGTGGTCGACTAGCTTGGAGAGCTCGTCTGCGCGACCATTCAGATCGCGTGGGATCCATTCGATGATTAGCCGAATCTCGAACTCCATGCATTTTTGGATGATGCCTTTGCACATGGTGGTGAGGTCGGGACTTCGGGAACCTCCTTTGCGAAGGATAAAGAACACGCCCTGGTTGTCCACCCGCACTAGCACGTGTTTCTTCCGGATTCTAGGCGCGTACGTCTGTAGCGCCCACAGCACGCCGGCGAGCTCTCGTTGTGTGCTGGAGGTTGGATGAAGGGCTCCGGGCATTGCCGCGCTGGCCTCTATCGCGGCTCCAGGGAATGTGTTCAGCGTGGCACCCCAGCTGTGGGCACTTGCGTCTACGTGGATGACAGCATCGTAGCTGTGCCGCACATGGAACGGGGCACCGCTGAAACGGTCGAACTCTTGGATTCAGAATCTCAGCTCTTCGATGGCGGGTGGGGAGAGGGTGACCATGCTGGTCCATGTCGGCGCGTCGTTGATTGTTTCTAACATGGCGTGGCTGAACGCTCGGGTGGCGGTGCCGAGTGCGACAGCCATCGATGCCAACATGCCTGTAACTCGGGCCAGTTGCCGGACTGGGACTTTCCGCTGAGCTGAGCTTGCGCGCAGTAGGGCATGGAGGGTGGCGTTGAGTGTGGCTCGCCGCTCCTCGCCGATGGAGAACCGGCCGGCCTGTGTGTCCAAGTTCTACGCCAAGGAACCGAAGGTGCTGTGTTGGTATCAGCTTTGACTTTTTTGAGTTGAGTACGAGCCCGGCAGCCTTGAGATCGATAACGATCCGTTGGCACGTGGCTTGAGCGTGTGCCTGGGTCGAGCACAGGAAGAGGATACCGTCCACGTAGGGTATCACGCGGACCCCCTGCTCCCGCCATCGCCGAGCTAATTGCTTGATGAGCTGCGTGAAGACGAATGGTGCTGTGGCGAGGCCGAACGGCAAGGATCGGAAGGCGTATGTGCGCCCGTCGAATTCAAAGCCGAGGAACGTCCAGCACGAGGGGTGGATGTCGACATGGTGGTAGCCTGATTTCAAGTCGATGGAGAACATCCAATCTCCTTGGCGGGCGAGGTCCGCTACGCGGTTGAGTCCCTCATATTTAAATTTGGGGACGATTATTGCGTCGTTCACCTTTCGGAGATCCAGAATCATGCGACACTTGTCTTTCTGCTCAACCACGTTGAGTGGGCTTATGCATCTCAGTTTCGCCGCAGGAATTTGGATGGCCGCGCCGGTCTCGGTGAGTTCAAGGATGGCCGTGCGCGTGAATGCTTCGTGGATGCGTGCGCCGGCATGGTTGCGATCGTGAAAGGCCGGCGGCGGCCCGAGTTTCCATGGCATCCAGTATCCTTTGGCAATGACTGAGAGGATGAAACTGCTAGTGCACCACGAGCTCCACCAAGCGAACGTGGTACGTAGGCGGCCACGCATTTTGGTGACCATCTTGTCAGTAACCGCGTATTCGTAGGGGTCACTGTTGTGTGCACATTCGCGAAGTCTGGTGCATGTGGGAGTGCCATCATGCAAGGAGACGCAAGGGACGAATACTTGAGTTCATCTGCAGGGCTGATGCCTACCGGAAACCTAGAGCGTGGGGGGGGGGGGGGTGTGAAGCCTAGTGGCTGAGGAGGGCGTGCCGGGTTGAGGTGCCCCATGCGAGCAAGATGCTTAGGTCGGTGGGTGCCTGCGCTTTGAGCGGGTCTGAGCGGCGTGACCTGCGTGTGTGTCGGTTTGCACGCCTACGCATGCCGAGCTTGCGTTCGAACCTGAGCCCCGACGTTTGCTTCCCTTGGTGCCCTCGTATTCCCACAACTTGTGCCTTCACCCGCGCTTCTACTCGCGAACGCATGTTACCCTCTTATTGCCGCCTTCGCTTGCGCTATCATTTCTTGGGTTTTGAGACTCAACGCCCGTGTTTTTTTTTTTTTTTTTTGTCTTTCTTCTAGCCACCTCTTGTGTGCTTGTGTGGCATGCGTGCGGTGTTGTGTTGCTGTTCCCGTTCGTGGGCCATACTGCGTGCGTGCGCGCATGCTTATGTGACTCGTTTTTTTTTTTTTTTTTTTTTCCAATGCCAAGCTGGGCAGCCCTAGATGAGGCTTGTGTGGCTGTTCCTGTATGCCCACGGGGGGGTAATGCTTAGGGTCCAGGGTGTAGCACACCGGGCTGGAGGGTAGGCGCCTTGTAAAGGCTCGCATAATGCTTGAATTCTGTTTTTTTTTTTTTTTTTTTGCATGTCCAATCGAGGAGCAACGATGTGTGGGTAAGTGGCGGGCCATTGGTGTTCCTGATGGCCTTCCTTCTCCGGCCGGGGGTGCTGCGTGACATGCAGCGGGGGTTGAGCCACCCACTATGCTTCCCCGTTCCGTGCTCAATCCCCCCCCCCCACCTTTTTTTTTTTTTTTTTTTTTTTTTTTTTTTTGCTGCGCCTCTTGTGGTGCTGCTCCCCCTTTTCTCTGGTTATATTAGGGGACCAAGACCTGAAAAAAAATGAAGGACCGTGGCTCCTTATTTTAACCAAGCGTTATCTCTACTCAACATGCTCCTAGGCATGCAAAGTCCGCCTTGCAAGGTCGGGCTATCATTTGGGACCGAGGGGGCATGTTCCCCTTCCCTTGCTCTGATCCTAGGGCCTTTGATTGGCCTACACTAGGGCTGGCCCTCTGCCACCCGTGCCCCTAAGGGGTGGGCCCAATGGCCTACGCACACACCGGGTGCCTTGCGCCTTGCGCCACTTGCGCAAGCGCCCATGGCCCGACCCCTACACCACTGGTGCGGGTCCTTGGCCACCATGCCCAATCGCCGGGCAGCCGCTGGCCACATGCCCCGGCTGGCCACAGCGGAAGCAAGTGCCTCGGAAGCCACGGAATTCTCCCGTAGGCGGCGGACCACGCTTTGGCACGAACGGCATGGGCATGCGGCCGCCTCCGCGATTTCCACGAGCGAATCCGCCCTCGGCGCGGTCCATTGCGGCCACGTCAGCGACGGCCTGCTTGAAAGGCCTTGAGGTAAGCAAACTCTTCTGCTGGTACAGCTTGAAACGCTTGGCCGTGCGGAAGTCGGAGGCGTCTTCGACTTGGAGAACTTCGAAGCGTCGTGATATGAGGGCGAGCGCGTCGGCGAGGAATTCGAGGCCGCCCGGCGCGTCGCCGTGCTGCACCTTGAACTCGGCGTGCTTCAGGTATGCCCGAAGGTCCTCCAGGACTTCCGCTTGCTCGCGTACGGCCGCGTTGAGGAAAGACGCCGCCGAGAGGGTGGTGTGAGTGGTCGGGAGTGGTGGGAGATGCTCCATGGGAATTGAATTTGCAGCAGAGCCGGGGACCTCACCAGCGTCATTGTCGGAGTCGTCGCTGTCGTTGTCGGCCGCCGGGGCAGGCGGGATGCTGGCGATGGCGTCCTTAGCAAGGCGTGGCGTCTTGGTTCCGCGTGTGGCCTTTTCTGTTTTTGCAGGTTCTTTTTTAGCAGATTCAGAAGCAGCAGGTTGAGCAGTTTCGGCGGCCGTAACACTCGTCGCCTGCTGCTGTAACAGCGTCAATAGCGCGTTGACCTGCGCAGGGGTCAACGCCGGGGTCAATGTCGGGGTGGGCGGCACGTCAGACGAGGCAGCCGCGCGCCCCCTTTTGCGCTGGCGAGAGGGGCCCGCCACTTGCGGGGCTGGCGCGTGCTGCTGCTCGGCGTCAGGCGCGAGTGGCTGGCTCTGCCCAGCCACTTGCGCGTGTGGCTCAGAAGGGGGCGGGGGCGCGTCAGCAAGCTGACTGTTGACCTCGCCCCCTCCCAGCAGAACGTCAACCCCAGTCGGGGCGGTTGCCCCTTCTTCTGCCCGACGCTTGTTGCGCCGGTCGCCCGCAATTTCCGGGGCTTGGCGAGTAGACTCGGAATTGGGGTGGCCGGTGACGACGTTGGACTCGCCGCGATTATTCGTAGTCGGAGCCATGACGGATCGGTGAAACTTAAAAATGTCGGAGAGAAGAGTCGAGGGAGACTCGCCGCGAGGCAAAGTTCTAGTCTTAGCCAGCTTGAACGGGAGAAAAGCTAGAGCGGGAAGGTTGACTGAGCCGTTTGAAAAATGAGAGACGTGGGTGGAGGTAAATGAGCTCCAACCCACGTATATGTAGTTGGAAAAGGGCGAGTAGAGCGCTTCGACGATGCCCAACGCTTCAGTACAATCAGCTTCGCTTTCACAATACACAATTTTTGAAAAACACTACGTATGTTAAAAAATATAATATATCGAGTACGCGAGTCAACGGAGGTTACACGAGGAGGTTGGTCGAAAGAACACGAAAGGACGAAAGACTCGAAGGGTCGCAACCGGAAGTTGCGACTTACCGTTACAACTGCAAGGGTGGTAACCGAATCGACCATCAAGTCGCTGTGCGACTCGATAACCATTCCTTCAACTGTATTCTACAACTGCTTTACCTACTTTCCTATTTTCTATATATTGCTGTATGCTTGTTTCCTTCAATCAATCACTTGCTCTCACATATAAGTGCAATGGGTTCAACTACTCAACTTCTGCTGCATTACTCAAGTATCTTGTACAAGTGGGACTTAGTCTCTGAAAAGATCCTAAGGGCCTTTTTTCAGCCCAATATACAACATTGGACAAATTATTTTCACCTCCATGTCTCAGGTCAACCAGTGGAATGAGAACGATGCCATTTGCACTACAAGTAGCGAGCTTTCTCAATATGTAAATTTTAAAAGTGTTCACACTTTCAAAATTGTGTATTGTGAATGCAAAGCTGCTTGTAACGCAATCTCAGGCATCGTCGAAGCGCGCTATTCGCCCTTCTCCAACCATATAATGGGGTTGGAGATAATTTTTCCTCCACCCACGTTTTTCATTTTTCCCAGCTCAAGTTCAATTCCCGCCCACCCACCGCTTCGGTGGATCATCATCGGCATAGACATGTCCTAGTGTAGAAAGTTTATGCTAATATATGAATATATTAGGAACTCTTTGTACTTGATGCCAGTGGAATGAGAACGATGCCATTTGCACTACAAGTAGCGAGCTTTCTCAATATACCATACATAGGAGTAACTCCATTCCAGAAGGCTCAGTAATAAACAATAATGATGCACAGGCAAACAAAATTGATACGGTGCGAGCAGAAACGAAGAGAACCACCCAATGCGCCAGCATGCCCACCCACACCACACCAGAACCTTGAGGCACCTCAAAGCACCCGCATGGGAACATGGTCCTGATGAGACAGCGTGACATGACAACAAGCCGATCACTGCGATGGCTTCTTCTAGGGGAGGGAGAACTTGCAGCAGCAGAGGCAGCAGGCGGTGACGGTGTCGGTGGTCGGGTGGATGCAGAGAGAAGGTTCAAGGGTGGGGGAACAGGCACGAGTCTTCCCCACTATGCATGGCCGTTGCGGGTCGGGAAAATTGCTCAGTCCAACCCAAGCACCCAACGGGCAAAATTTGGGGCCGAGAGGGACCAAGGATCCGCAGAAAATGACCGGAAAATTGGAGAAGATCGGAGGGAAGAGTAGCTAGGGCTCACTGCTCAGCAGTTGGTAGGGGGCACACAATGCTAAGGTACGTGTGGAGGGGACTGGAAGGAAACTAGTGGGGAAGGACAGTGATTAGTAAGAGGAGGCAAATGTGATGGGCATGTGCAGTAGGTGAGGCAGGACTAGGGTACAGGGAAGGGGAAAGGGGGAGGTGGGGAGCTGGGGGAGAGGGGGAGGAGGAGGGGGGGAGGGGGGGAGGGGGGAGGGGAGGTCTAAGTGCAAAATTGAGTGGCTGGTCACCAGATGCCTGCACACACACACACACACGTGGAAGGTGTGTGTGGTAGCATGCGTGGTGGCAGCACACATTGTGATGCAGCTTCACATGGCAGAGACTTCCAGCTCTGCGGCATAGACGGCGCTGGTAACCAGGCGTCACTGTTACGATGACCTCATGGGCGCGGCTTCATGGCAATAGGGCGGAAAACCGTCTGCAGGACAGGCGGGAGAGGGGGGGGGACGGGGAGGGGAACGGGGGTAAGAAAGGGGAAGGGTGGTGTGTGTGTACGTGCAGGGATGAGGGAGGGGGATGCTTACGAAGCAGCAGCTAGCTTCAAGCACATGCATCCTATGGCCCTCTCAACCCATGGCCATCACTCCTGGCGCCTCACCTGAGTGCGCGCGGGTGCTTCTGCAGTGGTGCTGGCAGAGCGGCGGCGGCGCTTGGCAGGAGGGAGAGCAGCGGCGGGCGTGGCAGGCGCCGCGGGGGGCGGAGCGGAGGAGAGCCCCATGTGGCCTGGCAGTGCATGTGCTGGCAGGTGCATCTTGCCTTGCTGTAGACGCAGTGCATGCGCTGGTGGCATGGAGACCATGGCACCACCACCACCGCTCCCTCCCTTCTTGTGCTGTTGCTGCTGCTGCTGGATAGAAAAGGCAGCAGCTTTTGCCTCATCCTGCTGCTGCTGCTGCTGCTGCTGCTGCTGCTGGGCGGCGGAGGCAGCAGCAGCGGAGGCCATAGCATGCACCTGCTGGGCCTGTGCGGCTGCCTGTGCCACCGCCGCCACCACCCCCCACTGCTGCGCGGCTGCGGCTGCATCCACTGCCGCCACTGCAGCGGCAGTCATGCGATTGGGATGCAGGTGGGACGGCGCAGCCATGGGGTTGGGGTGTAGGTGCGAGGGCGCGGGCAGGATGGCAACAGGCACGGGGACGGCGGGCGGAAGAGGCAGCTTCATCTGCAGATTCTGCACCGGGGCGTAGGCGCGAGGGCGGGGGCCAGGAGGGGCTGGCTGGATCTCACGGGGCTTCCTGGACACAGGAAGGGGGAGAGAGGACCGAGACAGAAGCAGCGCACAACAGTGAGACGGTGCGTGCAACGGCTCAATCGCAATGTCAGTGTATGGAGGCGAGCGAGAGCAGGGAAACGAAAGAGAGAGAGAGGGGGGGGGGACGGGAGGGTGAGGGAGAGAGGCAGTTCGAATAGAGGGATGAGGGGAAGAAAATGACACATAGTCTAGTTTTGAGGCGCCTCAAAACTAGACACATAGACTAGGCAGCAATACCTGTGTTTCTGGGTCGGGCAATGCAAGTCACCACCACCACCACCACCGGGACCAGCACCGAGCGCCTTCTGCCCGCCACACGGCACTGGCGCGTACATGCGCGCGGCGGGCGGAGCACCCCCGTCGGCCCTGTCCTTGGTGCTCGGCGCAATGGGGCGGGGCTTGGCCAACGCGGCGGAAAGAGCGGCACTGGACATTCCGGCCAGCGCGGGCGGGGCAGGCGCAAGCGGGCGGCGCGCGGCGGGAAGGAGCGGAGACAAGATGGGCGGAGACTGATGCCTCGACGGGGGGAGAGCGCTGCAGGCACCAGAGACAGCGACAGCAGCAGCTGCAGCCGCGGCGGCAGCGGCGGCGGCGGCGGAGGCAGTGGCGGGAGTGGGTGCGATGGGGAAAGGGAGAACATGGGGAGACGGATGGAGGGGAGATGGCGCCACGTGGGGCACGGGGACGATAACAGGGGGAGGGAACGTTCCGCTCGCCGCGGGGGAGAAGGCGGAGCGCTGAAAGGCCCGTCCAATGCTGACCATGGGTGGGGAGACAGACGGCGAACCCTGCTTCTGGGAATGCTGCTGCTGGGTTTGACCAAGAACCGCCTTCGACGCAGCCTGTGGGGTCGGCGCCTTGCTCTCCTCGTGCTTCACCGCGCTACTTGCTGCAACCTGCTGCTGCTGCTGCTGCTGCCGCTGCTGCGCTTGGACACGAGGGGAAACGCGCGACCGCTGCTCGGGCTGCTTCGCGAGCGGTTGGCGAACCACAACGACCTCAGCCGACTCCGCGGCAGCAGCCACGCTCTCACTCTCCGCACCGCCGCCCTTCGCCGACCCTTCCCTTCCCGATGCTGACCGGTCCCGGCCCGCCTCGGAGGCGGGGGGGGCAGCACGAGCACCGTGCGCGTGCGCGCACTCAGAGTTGTCAATCTTAACCTCCTTAGCGCTGACTATCTCCAGAGGACGGGTGTCTCTTTCAACCTCCCCCCGAGCCGTCCCATCCGGCTTCACGCCCCGTCCTTCTCTCGACCCCTCGCCGTCGCCAGCCGAGCCCGAGACTCCCGCCCCGTCATTCTGCCTATTCTGCCGCTTCCCCTCCGCCTCCCCTCCCGGATGCTCCTCCACATCCTCATCGCTCTCGCCCTCGTCCTCATCCTCCTCCTCCTCGTCCTCCTCATCCTCCCCTTCCTCGTCTACATCCTCTTCCACATCGTCCACTCGCCTGTACTCTGCCCTAGATTCCCCTTTCTGCGGCGAATGCTGCTGCTGCCCAAGACCGTCCGAGCGTGCGGGGTCCGACCTGTCCTGCTCGTCCGACTGCACCTCCCCCTCCTCGTCACTGCGGCACTCGCGGGCTCGCTTCGCCCCGCATCGGCTCCAGGCCACCTCCTCCGCGCCGCTGCTCACGCCGCGGGAGGACGTATTCCCCGTCTCGCACTTAGCGCCGAATTTACGCGCCGAGGCGTCTGAACCTGCCTGCGCTTGCGGGTCTACTGCGTGCGCGGAGTGCTTACTGGGCGTCAGCTCCGGCTCCGTATTGGCCATGTCTGAGGGAGTGCGCGAGCGAGGCTTCGACAGAGCAGCGGGAGCAGCAGCGGCACACACGGACGGCATGGAACACCTCATAGTCTCGCGGTCACCTTCTTTCGACTCGGTAGAGGCTGACGCGTTAAGGTCGAGGCAGGGAATGGTGCCGACTGCGTGGTGACAGGTGTCGGTAGGATCGTGGGGGTCCGCGCGACGTCGCAGGGTGACGATGTAGTCGTAGACCTCGTTCAGGAAATCCGCGGTATTAGCACCCTCGACGTGCGGCACTAGCATGCGCAGAGACTTCATCCTGGTTGTAGAGAAAGGACGGGAGTTGGAAGGTGAGACAGCGGAGATGGGAGGTAAGTAAAGACCGTAGGACTTACAGGGGTAACTTAAATCTCTTTCCCGGAAAAAACGGATGAATAGGAGAAGGAGCGAACACTGAGGAACAGGACGACCACCGGACGAGCGGCTCTCTCCTTGCTACTTGCAACTTTAGGGTCTCTAGGACGAAGCACGGGGGGGGGGGGGCGGGGGGGGGGGGGTAGCTGCTCTAAGCGCATACTTGTCCTTAATCCGCGCCCTCCGCTTCTGCTCCGAGGCCATGTGGCGCGTGGCGCAGACGCCGCTCCGCGACGCCAACGCCGCTCCGCGCAAGCTGCAAGCACCTGCCGCCACAGCCGCAGCCGCAGCCGCAGCCGCACCGGGACCCGCGCCATGGTTCGACGCACTCCCAGCGCACGAGCCACCGGACGGGACCGCTGGTCCTGGCTGGCTTACTGCTGCTGCAGCGGCGGCCGCTGCTGCTGCTGCGGCTGCAGCGACGGGATTGGGTGTGTACGTAATAGCTGGGAAGAATCTCGGGACGCCGAGGTTTCCGCATCCGTAGCCGAAGCCGCCAGCGGCAGCGACGCTACAGGGAGCCGGGATGGCTGTTGAGGCATTGCTGGGAGGGAGGGTGCCTGGCGGTACGCTCTGTTGCGATGACAGCGGTCGTGGAGCTACAGCTATTACTCGTGGGGGGGCGGTGCGATGCATGGCAGGCAGCCTACTAGCTCCCTGCTGCGACAACGGAAGGCCCTCCGACAAGCCAGAGTGAATGGGATAAAGTACGACCGTGACGAAATCGGAGGTCAAGCTGCTATTCGCGATGAACGGAGTGGAATTAGGACGTATGGTTCAAGAACTAAGGAAGCACGGGACCAATTTCTGGAGTTTCGGGCCGTCGACGACCCTAACTCGAAACGGAATGTGCAAGCACGAGGTGCAGACTCCCACCAGCACTGGTCTGTAGGACTGCTCCGTGCACATCACTGGCTCTGACTCTTATCAGCAGGAACACAACTGCGTCCCCCAACTTGACCACGACTCCTGGCAGAACACTCGAGCACAATCGCCGCCGTGGCTCGTCGCAGCCATGGCAATTCCTCGCCAATCTCAGTTTTTCTCAATGTGCGAACTGAGAATGGGATTGCGGCCTCCCTGCCCTACTGTCCCCAGCTGCCCAATCATGCCTTCCCCCCAATCAGTAATCTCCAATCACAATGGGGGATGACGCTTTAGTGCTGAGGTCAATTGCGGAGACAGGGTGAGTTGCGGGGAAGGGTGGGGAGGAAATACAGACATAGCCGTTGGGGTGGGGGGAGGCCCGGGGGGGGAGGGAGGGTGGTGGGCGCGGGGAAAGCAGGGTTCCCCGCTGGAGAAAGCGGTTGTTGGCTGAGAGCTGAGTGGTTGAGGTTGAGGGGCGGAGGGAGTTGTCGGACGACCAAGGTGGAGTTGAAAGCCATGCAACATTCCGCCAACCAGCCTCCTTCGTTCTCCGCCAACCCGCTGTACCTCTGTCGCGGCAAGGTCTGGGGTTTGCTTGTGGGGGACAGACACCAAGCTTTGAGCAGCACTGAATCTCGCCGAAATGGAGCATTCCATGCGATGCGACACAGGCTCCAAGCTGGTGCTACGGTACTGTACTGTACAGAGAATTGAGATTCGTTCACGCCTCGCCTGGGGGATGATGCATCAGGGTGGACCACGCTTTCCGTGTTTCACTTCGCTCGCGTGGCAAGCATTTACTGGCTGGACTAGTTTCCCGCTTGTATTCCAGCTTGGACTTCTCCTAGGAAAATTGCCTCGTGACCTGTCCTGGTCCACCCAGAGGTAGCGCTTTCCTATCTTCATGGCAAGGCTGAACCTTCATATCGGGCACACCCGCGAGTTCCATACACTTCGGGCACCACGGGTAACTCGGTGCTGACGTGTCGGTGGTACTTCCACCAATCGTGTAAATTCAGTCGAAACAATGTGGGCGAATTTCTGAATCGCGATTGGATGGAACCGGGGTCCTTGTTTCCATCACGCCAGCCCTTAGCATCACGTTGAGCCAAAAAAAGGTACGAATCCTCGGCATCTTCGAATCAACAAGAGAAACCTCCAGCGCCCACACAGGATAATCGGCGCGCAATAATGTCCACATTTCTTTTCCCCACGTGGCAAGAAAATCCGCTGAGGGCTTTCTAAATCTCAGCTCCACCAATGGGGGGTGCAACCGTGGCAGGGCGAAGGGTGGGGGGCGAAGCAACACACATGTGAATGACTGCACCGTGCCCCAGGTTTCACGGGTCGAGACCGAGTGCTGTCTATGTCACCCACATCCTGCTTGTCCACTTTGACCACATGGGGGAAAGGGGAAAATGCGAGCTCAAATTTGGGTATTCATCTCCCGGGTAACCATCATCCGAGGTGATGACGCCATCAGTCACATATGTGGCTTCATGGTAACCATCAGATTGACGTTGTTCCAGCGTGGTGCCTAATATCCCTGCGTGGTACCAATTTGTACTCGGCACCTTCTCTAACTGGTAAGGGCGTGTCCAGCGCGTTCGTTTACTATTCACTTTGCATATCAGGTAATTTTTTTTGACCTGGTAACCTGACATTTCGTGTCCATTCGGACACGCACGATAAATTGACGGTTTTGGCGGACACACTCCAAACGGGCCCACCGACGTGGGCCACATATTTCCGAACCGAATGAAAATCGTGCGCAAATTATGTACACGGCAGAAACGTCCAAATCCTGGCTGGCGAAAGATAGAACGCTTACATTCACCAGGCTTTCGTGACCCTTGCGAATCACGGCGAAAAAAATGGGTTCGCCCTCCCGGGCGGGGCCTCTTTTCCGGGGCGAAATTCAGTTACCCTGCTGTTTCGCGTCCCAGTCTGTTATGTGCGCGCTGCGCACCCGCTCATTTGTCGAGCCACGGGCGGGGCTCGTGTCCGCGCGTTTTGCTGTTGATACGGTGGGTGTACCTCAACACATTCACACTTGGCGAATCAATATTCTGGCGTGTTAAAAAAAAATTAAAAAATCGTGTTGGGGCAAATTGAACGCGTTGGACAGCCCTAACCGTCAGTTTCAACGTTTCAAAACGGAAAAGTACATCGGCGCTCAGTATTAGGGTCCCCGCTATTACGTACGGTCAGTGGAACGCTATAGACAATCAGAATTAGTGAGTTCGTCATACGGCTAGTCAGTCGGGTTCCACGGTTAGTCAGTGATTGCTGGTAAACATTTCTACGAATGGTCAGTAGACGTAACCCCCGCCCATTTTGGGCAGTTTTCCCGCTCGCGGCAGCCCAACAACCAAACGACTGTAATAATTGCCAGGGGCGAGATTTTTTTCGCGCAAGCCTGGCGCTGCACATTTCGCCCACTCCAACCCTCACTCCAAAACTTGAAGTGAATGGGCTGGATGGAGGAGATGTAGGGAGTGATGGGAGGGAGGAATGAGGCAGGGCGTATGCCTTTTGTGAAAACCCTACCCAACCGTTTTAGAATTCGGAGAGATCCTTCTAATCCGTGAAGGACCACACCCAACCGCGATCTAAACATGCTGTTGGAGTAAGGGCGAAATGTTCTGTACGTAGTGTTGGAGTGAGGGCGAAATGTACAGTACCGATGGTTGGAGCGAGGGCGAAATGTACAGTACCAAGCATTGGAGTGAGGGCGAAATGTACAGTGCCAAGCGTTGGAGCGAGGGCGAAATGTACAGTACCGAGCATTGGAGTGAGGGCGAAATGTACACTGCCGAGGGTTGGAGTGAGAGCGAAATGTGCAGCGCCAGGCTGGCGCGAAAAAAAAAAAATTTTGCCCCTCGCAATTATCACAGTCGTTTGGTTGTTGGGTTGCCGCGAGCGGGAAAACTGCCCAAAATGGGCGGGGGTTACGTCTACTGACCATTCGTAGAAATGTTTACCAGCAATCACTAACTAACCGTGGAACCCGACTGACTAGCCGTGTGACGAACCCACTAATTCTGATTGTCTATAGCGTTCCACTAACCGTACATAATACCGGGGACCCTAATACTGAGCGCCGATGTACTTTCCCTTTCAAAACTGCCCCCACGTGTCTCGTACACGCTGCAAGCGAAAGTCGTAAAGAAGAACATCTGGTACAGAGTATTTCACAGGTGCGTATAGGCCGAAATGTTACGCAACACATTTTTATTAACCTCATATAACACTATAATTTTGTATAACTGTGGTTTAGATTATTTAGTAGTTTTGTAACCTAGTTCTACTGAAAAATAATTAGACGTATCTGATTTTAATAAATGACTAGAAAAGCTTTTAGATCTTTGCACATCAGCGTAATGTTTGGGGCACATAGCATAGAGTACTAATAATAACATTAGCACTCAATTCGTATTAAGGCATTCCTCCAATAATCGCTCAACAGGCTGCTCCCTTCTGCTGCTTCTGCTGCTGCTCTCTGCTGCTTCTCCTTGCTGTTGTTTCTGCTGCTGCTGCTGCTGCAGCTTGTTGCTCCTCCTCCTCCTATCTGTTGCGGTTGCAGCTGCTGCTCGTGCTTAGTGCCCCTGGTGATATCGATATGGCTACCTGCTGCAACTGCAACTGCTAACACTCAATGCGGTTGCTGCCCTAATCTCTTCGGCTCTTACTGGAAATGGAGCTGCTCGTGCCATCCATGCTGCTCATACGGCTTGATGCAGCAGCTGCACGTAATGTTGTTTCCTAGTCTGCCCCTAATGCTGGAGTTGTTGAAAACACCAATTGTATTAGTAGTTATTTTCAGATAATTCTGTGAGTACATTTATTCACGGGGAAATTATGTCATGGAGGCGACGCCACTAACGTATAGTTTCGACGCTTGCGATTACTATAATGGAGCATGCATTGTGCAATGTTTTTAATATTCCAGTGATCTCTTTCATGTTCATGTTGAACGATTACATGAGGAAAACTGTGACATGGGGAGTGTGTGTCATGGAAGCGACGGAACTAATGTCTAGTTTCCATGCTTATCATACAAATAATGTGTCACGCTTTGTCCAGTGGTTTCTACTATTCATGTGTTCCCTTTCATGATGAGCATGTTGAGCGATTATTGTTGGAATGCCTTCATACGAATTGAGTGCTAATGCTATTATTAGTACTCTATTATATGTGCCCCAAACATTACACTGATGTGCAAAGATCTAAAAGCTTTTCTAGTCATTTATTAAAATCAGATACGTTTAATTATTTTCCAGTAAAAATAGGTCACAGAACTACTATATAACCTAAACCCCTGTTATACAAAATTATAGTGTTATTTGAGGTGAATAAAAGTGTGTTGCGTAACATTTCAACCTACACGCACCTGCGAAATACTCTGCACCAGATGTTCTTCTTTAAGACTTTCGCTTGCAGCGTGTACGAAACACGTGGGGGCAGTTCGGAAACGTTGAAACAGACGGTTACCAGTTAGAGAAGGTGTCGAGTACAAATTGGTACCACGCAGGGATAATAGGTAGGGAAAGTACACCCGCGCTCAGTATTAGGGTCCCCGCTATTACGTACGGTCAGTGGAACGCTATAGACAATCAGAATTAGTGAGTTCGTCACACGGCTAGTCAGTCGGGTTCCACGGTTAGTCAGTAACTGCTGGTAAACACTTCTACGAATGGTCAGTGGACGTAACCACCGCCCATTTTGGGCACTTTTCCCGCTCGCGGCAGTCCAACAACCAAACAATTGTAATAATTGCGGGGGGCGAGATTTTTTTCGCGCCAACCTGGCGCTACACATTTCGCCCTCACTCCAACCCTCGGTACTGTAAATTTCGCCCTCCTCCGACGCTTGGCACTGTATATTTCGCCTTCACTCCAATGCTCGGTACTGTACATTTCGCCCCCGCTACAGTACCCTACAGTACCAAGCTTTGGAGTGAGGGCGAAATGTACAGTACCGAGCATTGGAGTGAAGGCGAAATATACAGTCCCAAGCGTTGGAGGAGGGCGAAATGTACAATACCGAGGGTTGGAGTGAGGGCGAAATGTGCAGCGCCAGGCTTGCGCGAAAAAAATCTCGCCCACCGCAATTATTACATTTGTTTGGTTGTTGGGCTGCCGCGAGCGGGAAAAGTGCCCAAAATGGGCGGGGGTTACGTCCACTGACCATTCGCAGAAATGTTTACCAGCAGTCACTGACTAACCGTGGAACCCGACTGACTAGCCGTGTGACGAACTCACTAATTCTGATTGTCTATAGCGTTCTACTGACCGTACGTAATAGCGGGGAGCCTAATACTGAGAGCGGGTGTACTTTCCCTAATAGGTACCACGCTGGGACGAAGTCAATCTGATGGTTACCATGAAGCCACGTATGTGACTGCTGACGTCATCACCTCGGATGATGGTTACCCGGGAGATAAATACCCACTCAAAGTTGGTGGCAGGCCCTACTTTTGGATTTTTACTACTCTGATATTGGGGAGTGGCATTTCAATTTACTCTGAAAATGAGAGTGCATCCTCACAGTATCTCTGATTTGCCAGGGTTTTTTTCCATTTTGAAAAAAAAATCACTGATAGTGCAGAGGGGAAATTTCCACAACTCTGTGCTGCTGTTGTGCACCCCGACAAAGGTTTGTGATAGATGTACGCTTCATTTCAAACACATACATACATTAGTCACCATGCTCATCCTCGTCTCCCTCTGAGGCACTCTCACAAGAGCCACTGTCCTCCTCTGACTCATCGGACTCATCATGCTCCTTGCCCTTGGCAGCATCGCTGCTCCTCTCATAAGCTACTACTTTTGCCTGTCTGCGGTTCTTCTGGCGTCTCCAGATCTCCACGACATCAGGGTAGTCCATGTCGTACTCCAGGAGGCTAATGGTCATCAGGTCGCCGAGTCTTGCATCACACAGGCTCGTCCTCAGCCAGCTCTTGACGGCTTTCTGCCTGCTGAAACCGCGCTCGCACTCGACGGTGCTCAAGGGCAGAACCGCCATCGCCTGCCAGATCCTCATGAGATTCGGATAGCTCTTGGCCCAATCCCTCGTCTTCAGCATGTTGGCGAGGCCTTGGCCGAAGTCGTCATCAGCACGGTGCGTCTTCATGATGTGACAGAAAGTCTTTAACTCCAGCTCAGCTTCTCGACCATCCACTCCTGTGGAAACGCTCGGGCGGGATTCGAGACATGGAAAGCGAAAACATCGATTAAGAACCATGGTGGTGTTGCCACCGTTTTATAAAACATGGATACTTGTATCGTCATATAGCGAGATGACACTATGAGTGCTAGGGATACGTGCATGGAGGGAGCGATAAAACATACATACCAGGTAGCTTGTTGTCAAACAGCTCCAGGTTCGACTTGACCCAAGTGCGCGCTCTTCGTTCCCGCACTTCCTGCTTCTTCGGCCATGTGTCCACCTTGTACAGCTTCGACCCGGCCATCCGCTTCAGGTCTCACATCCTCTGGTTCAGGTTCTGCACGGTGTCTTCAGCAAAGGCAGTGCACAGCATCATGCAGGCCGCCTTGGTGCCACCGTACTTGTGACCAGGCAGGGAGCTCTCCACGAGCTTGAAACTGTGGGAAACAGGGCGCCCGTCGTCATCCGCGCCGTGCACCACCACCTTGCCTCCATTCTCGTCATAGCTCTGCAGAAACTTGCTGAGCCGCTTGCTCAGCCCCGCGCCGAAGGTCTCGCCAAACTCCACGTAGCGATGCTTGATGTACGTGACGGTGCGGTCGACCTCCTGCGAGACAAGGGTGATGTCGACCTGATGTGTGGGCGGGGTAATAAAAGCAGTGGCAAGATGCGAAGCAGATAAGTTATTGTCGAAATGGAAGAAAGTCCACAATCCAGCACATGACAACAGGCCACCAGCGACATGAAACACAGAGACCAACGGGATATGGGATAAAAACATACCGACCGCTTCTGGAAAAACCTGTTGAGCGTGTTGAGCTCAGCGAGGATGTCAGCCAGAAAGTACAGACAGAAGTGGAACTTGAGTGTTTTGACCACTGGAACCAGCTTGTGGTTGTACTCGATGAGCACAGCGATTACAGCGCCGAGGATCCTGCAGAGTCGTTTTACAGCATCTCCACGCGAAAGCCACCGGATGTTGAAGAGCCCCTGGTGCTCGAGGTTCGTGTTGTGGATGATCAGCTGGAGCTCCTTGAACCTCTCGTACCACGGTGTTGAACGCCCAACAATCTCGCCGAAACCACGGATGACGATGTCGATGATCCAGAGGTCGGGGAATGCACTGGCCGCATCCTTCACTGCAAGGGCCTCACTGCGAGATACGAAGAATCATGCAAGGTCGGGCAACTAGCATGGATAACAAGTAGTCCGACATGCATTGCATGCAAGGAAACGGACTCAAATCGTCGAGGCTGCAAGGGGGAAGACAAGTGTGGCTTGACCTGCATGAACTCACCGATGTGCAATACAGTGGCAACCAACGAGATGCGGAATGCGCACCCGAAGACGCGCTACCAGACCGTTGTGCTCTCCTGTCATGACAGACGCCCCATCCGTGCTGATGCCTACCACCTTGTGAAGTTCGATGCCGCAAGAGTCTAGGTGCCCGAGTAATGCCGTCTGCAGAGCTGCTGCGTCACACTTGTCGAGAGTAAGCAGCGTCAGGAACTCTGTCACGACTCGCCGCTTCTTCAGGAACGTTGCGAAGACGATGAGGTGTTTGCCACGGGTTCTGTCAGTTGACTCGTCGCAGCTCACTCCGATGAAGGGTGATGCGTGGATGTGCTGCATCTGTTGTGCTTTCAAGTACGCCACCATTGCGCGCACCATTTCCTTGAAGCCATATCTGCACTTGGAAGGGCATGGATAAGCCGGAATTAACTCGATGATTGATACGACAGCGGAGCAGTCGCAATTTCACCAAGAAAGAGTACCGAAAATCATGAGCCACCCCGGTACTTACTACGTGATGTAGACGCTATAAGTCTGCTTCGGAATGTCCTTGACACCCTCCTCTGACATGAACCCGACGAGCCGCGTCAACATGGCGATCGGGGCATCCTCCTTGCATATGAACAGCATAGTTCGAAGTAGACGAATGATCCTCGCGCCGTCAGGGTCGTGCTTCCCGAAGTCCTCCATTTTCTTCTGATTCTCGACCTCCTTCAGCAGCGCCTCTTGCTTCTTGACGGCGTTCTCGTGCCTTGTGCTCTCCTCATGCCAACACATCGAGCCAATCTGGAGATCCCGTCCACCAGCACCGTTGCGCCCGTATCGTGCGTGGTCTTTGCCGTGCTCCATGCAGATACTGCAACGCAAGCAAGGTGCACCATCGTTGGTCTTATCCAGCACTAGCCAGGGGAATTTCGGTAACCAGTCGGCAGTGTACTTCCGTTGCGCGGCAAGATAGGCCTTCGCCATCTTCTCGGCGGGGGTTAAAGCAGCTGAAGGCAGTTGCTGTGGCACGGGCTCTGGCTCTGGTGGTGGCGGAGGCTTAGGGGGAGGCGGCGCAAACGGGAGATAAGTCTGGTTGAAGCGACGCTTCCTTTCCGAGGCAGACGCAGGAGTTGAGGCAGGAGTTGATGCCGTTGATGTGGATGCTGGAGTTGATGCAGAGACAACAGGTACAACTGAAGGTTCGGCGACAGGACCTTCAGCGTCAACCGTAGCCTCTAAATTTCTGTCCCATTCCTCACTACTGAGAGAAGGCAGAGGTTGTGGCGCAATTGGAGCGGTAGCAACTCGACGGAGAAAGTCGAGCCCGCTAAGAGGGAGCGATCTAGGAGTTCGCAGAAGGACAGACTCGTCGCCACCGCCATCGTCGGGCTCACTCGTGCCAGCCATGACGGCAGTGGCACGAGTGACGACGGGCGGCAGCGACGGCGAAGGTAAGCGAAGGTTTTCTTGTGCTAGGACGTTGTGAGAGAGAGATTTGGTGAAGGGGAGGAAAGGAAGGTTGAACAGGACGAGGGTTTCGTCTGCTCTTCTTGGGGGTGAGTGAATTGTGGGGCGCCTCAGAGTGGGTGAGGGAGAAAGGTCGGTCGTGCATGCATGGATGGTGGCTAAGGTCAGCGTGCGGTGGTGAGGGAATTGCTGCCAGCCTTGCAGTGATGCTGCAGTCGTGACTAATCAGCGCGGAGGATGCTGCCAGCAGTGGCAAGGATGGCAGCATATGACGTGCCACTGCCTGGCGGTATGCGTAAAATGACGCGTATTGCGGGATATTGGGGCAAGGCCAGGTACAGGGTACAGGGGAAATCTACAAGAATACCCCCTATACACTAACCCTCAGAGGGGTACAAATGGTTACTCTGATATAATCGGAGTAAAATAAAACCTCATTCTTTTTACTCAGGGCACCTAGAGTAGTTTTCAAAAACGACTCTGATTTTCAGAGAAACAGAGTAAATTACTCTGATAAAATAGGCACTGGTTGGTGGATGGGCTGAGAAAAGCCTGAGATCATAGAGATAAAACATTCACGTACACAGTATCTTTGTAGATCGACCTACAAATAGCACTTGGAGCCTCCTCAAACGAGCCGTACGTTGCCGTCATTTGGCGACCCTGATAAAGCATCAGCGGCAGAAACAAGGCCTATCGTTCTTACTATCTGTCGCCAGCCATGTCGATCGCAGCTGCAGCCTCCAGAAGTTGCACTGCGCTTCGCAGCCTCGCTGGTCCACCCAGTGCATCCCCCGGCTCTGGCCATGAACCGACGACCGTGAAGGCTGTCATCAGGTTGTTAGCGCCAACACATTATTTCGCTCCCATGTTCTGTGGATGCTACACGCATCCTTTTAGTAGCTCCTAAAGTAGCAGCAGTTGACGATGTTTTTGCTGCGCCGATCGCGCGCTCTGTGCCTCTCCCACTGCGCTTACCAGCGTCGCTCCGCATCGCAAATTCCTCCTCTCGCGGCCTTTTGATTCGTCCCTCGCGCCTCTGCGTCATTTCCAACCACACTTTCTCACCTCCTGTTTCCCCATCCGTTTCCGCATTTCGCGCAGGCCGGCAGCCGCGATCGCACCACTGTCAAGCGGCTCCAACGGATCCAACGGCTCAAACGGCCTGTCCTGGCTGCGCAGTCAGCCTCCCGCAGGCCGCCTCTCGCGCGATCCCCGGCGGCGGAACCGCGCGGGGGCGTCGCGAGCAACCCGCAGCCCGGCATCGACGAACGTGGTGGCTCTCTTCACAGGCAAGGGCGGGGCTCGCGCGCTATGGGGGACCGCAATGGTGGCGCGCTAGGGGGGCGCGCAAGGCTCTTAGGATGATCGAGACTCAGGGTTTCGGGTCCAGGGCTTAGACTGCAGTGCGGGCGCTGTGACTTAACATCCGTTGGGCAGGCTCGTCTCATCCCCCCTGTGCGTGGTGGCTTCCATTTCGGAGGCGCCTCAAAAGGGGGCCTCGTGAACCCCGTGCGTGGGGCGTGCAGGCAGGCTGGAGGGAGAGACCTTGGGTCGTAGGCGGTGTGGTAGCAAATAAGTTGGCTTCGGAAGGCGCGTCTCCGTCACATCATCCCCATCAGGCATGTCTCTTAAAGCGGCAACGCGGACCTTAAGAGACTGGGAACCGGGCTGCTTGCTGTGTGTGCGTGCGTGTGCGTGTGGCGCGCAGGGATCGTGGAGGAGATGGGCGCGGTGCGGCAGCTGCAGCAGGGCGACGACGGCGGGTGGCAGCTGACCGTTGCCGCCTCCACCGTACTGCAAGACGTGCACGTGAGGCGACGGGGAGGGGGGAGGGGGGATGGGGGACGGAAGAGTGGGGCTTGGGGAGGGGGAAGAGGGGGGTTGTTGGTGAAGGTTGAGGTGTAGAGAGGAGTTGAAATGGGGCGGAATGCAGGGTGAGAGGGCAGAGGGTTGGGGTAGAGAGGAGGAGGAGGGCAAGGAGACAGGTGTCTGGAGCTTGGGAACGGAATACCGGTGCTGGAAGGTAGTGGGAAGTGAGGGGGGGGATTTGGGGAGGAAGGAATAAGGGGGGTGGGTGGGAGGCATGAAGGGGTGGGAAAAGGAGTCACCATGTGGGGGGGTAAGGTAAGGGCGTAGGCGATGTGAGAGAAGACAAGGGTGGGACAGAAAAAGGAGGGGGGGGGGGGGGGGGGGTGGTTCGGGGGGACGCTCAGGATGGCCCAGAGACGCTCAGGGATTGGAGTGGGTAGCAAGCATTCAACTACAGGAGTGTGCGTGGTGCGGTTTCGTGGGGTAGGCTTGGACCTCTTGCACCTGTGTGTGTAACGAGCACATCTTAGTGTGTCTGCACGTGTATGGCACCTGCGTGTGTTTGTGCCGTGTGCGTGGGTGTGGGTGGATGTATCTTGTTGCTTGTGTATCTGTCGTGTGTGTGTCTGCATGTGGGTTTGTGTGCATCCATGCATGTGCATCCGTGCATGTGCATTAATGCATTTGCATGCATGGATGTGCGTGAGCAGTTGGGGGACAGCATTGCAGTGAATGGCACATGTCTGACTGTCACCACATTTGATGACTCATCCTTTGTAGTCGGTAAGAAGCCCACTGCTATCCCGGCAATCTTCGTGCACACCAAATCCCGCCAATTTTCTCCTTCCCTGCTAAAATTGCACATCATCACCATATCCCGCCCAGTGCTTTCACTCGCTTGCTCGCTCGCTCCCTGTCCCCTTTTTGCATGCACACACACACACACACACACACACACCCGCACGCACGCACGCACGCACGCACGCACGCACGCATGCACGCACTCACGCACGCATGCACGCACATACACACACACACATACACACACATACACACACATACACACACATACACACACACACACATACACACACACACATACACACACACATGCACACACACACACATACACACACACACATACACACACACACACACACACACACACACACACCCGCACGCACGCACGCACACACACACCGCTCACATTCCCTCCTGCTCTGCCACCATTCCAATTCGTGGCCATGGCCTCGCTCCTAATCTGCTCCCGGTGTCCCCCCAGGCCTTGCGCCTGAGACGCTGCGGCGCACCAACTTGGGCGACTTGAAGGAGGGCTCGCCTGTCAACCTCGAGCGCTCCCTCCGGGCTGACAGCCGCCTGGGGGGGCACTTCGTGCAGGTGACTGGGGTGGAGAGCTGGGGAGGTTTGGGGGGGGGGGATGGTGGGGAAGAGAGGGCTGAGAAGAAGGAACCGGGACTGGTTGTGGGAGTAGGGCTCTGAGCGGCTTTCCGTAGGGGTTTGGAGCCTCATGATTTTTTGTAATTTCTTGCAAGTGCTATGTGCTTGGCCTTGTGAATGATGTGATCCGGGACATGGCATGGCATGGCGTGGCAGGGGCATGTGGATGGCACAGGCATTATCAAGGGCAAGCGGCCGGAGGGCGATTCCCTGTGGCTGACCGTGCAATGCGACCCCTCGCTGCTCAAATACATCGTCCCCAAGGTGCGTTGTATACGGCCGTTAGGGCATGCACCACTGGTCATGCTACCATGAGTCATGCATAGAGGCACTGCTCCAAGCCAAACTCAGAACCCCTGTGGTTCCTAGGTGCAATCTGCAGCGGTTCCGAGTCAAGACAGATAACATGTGCACCGTGTGGGGAGTGCACTCAGGGAAGCGTGTCTGTGTGCCATCACACCTTGTCCCCACCTGTGTGTAGCAAACAAGGAAGCAAGCAGCCTAGGTTCTTAAGCACCAGCGCACGTTCCCTGCCATGCCCTTGCCACAATAGCCCTTTCCACCCTCACTTCGGCTGCCTGCACCACTCACTCACACACGGTGCTTCAAATCTCCTGGCATTCCCGATTGCTCGTCGTGTTCTGGGGAGGGGGGGGGGGGGAGGGGGGGAGGGGTGTGTTAATGGGGTGTGGGAGCATGTGTGCAGGGCTACATTGCCGTGGATGGAACCAGCCTCACAGTCGTGGAGGTCAACGATGAGGTACGTGCGTTACCCACTCTCATGATGGTGACAGCATGCAAGGCCACAGACAGTCGGCGGCATGCGCGCCAGTCGTTGCCGATCTGTTGTATGCTTTGGCCTTGCTTTGCTTGCAGTATGCCAGTATGTTTTATTCAAGGTCGTATGAATCCGTGTTCCGTCCGACTAACCCGTGGCCGTCTTGTCCGTTGTTGATCAGGAGAGCTGGTTCACGTTCATGCTAGTTGCATACACGCAGCAGAAGATTGTGGTGCCCGGCAAGGAGATTGGCGATAGAGTGAACCTCGGTAAGTCATATTTCCTCTCGGCACATTACTGCATTTGCAACTTTTCTCCACCACTTACTCCCCACCCTTGTGGGTATTCCATTTTTGCTCTCAATCTTGAGCAACTTTTCCTTCCTCCCTTCCTCCTTCATTGCTTTCAGAGGTGGACATTGTTGGCAAATACGTGGAAAGGGTTATCGCGCCTGCATACAAGTCTAGCCAATAAATTTCAATAGTTGGCTCCTAATGGGAATTGATGGCAACAATTTATTTTTTATAGCATATATTCCTAAGGTGTCTATCTGTGTGCTACGTTAAGAGTTCTCACTGTGCAAATGTCGGATGTTACATCGAAACATAGCCCACACACCAGCCGCGCCTTTTCCGCATGCGTCGCCCATCACAGGTGTGTCGTGCGACGTGCCAAACCCAACCAACAGTCCCTCCACAGCGCCAAAGCGGTCCCTCTGTCACATCTGCTTCGCGCCACCAGCTGGCCCTCTGCGAGCGGTGTGCGACGGCAAAAAGCACATTTGGCGATTTTTTGCGCGGTTTACGACTCCAAACGGGCGGGACAGGTGTACGCCCACGACCGAATGAATTTCAGATGGCGACCCTGGTTGGGCGAGCGACGAAATGGTGAATCATCCACGCTGTCGCACAACCTTGCTGTTGGCAGCGGCTCGGTAATGTGCGATCCGGTTTCCCTCTGCATTGCGGCTCGCTTCGCCTGCTCCGTTCGCCCTCGACGACTCACCTGATTCGTTCTTGCTTTCCAGCCTCTCCTTCCTCTTCCAGCCACGCACCCCCCAACCTAACCCTTCCCACCCCGTCCTTCCTCCTCCTAACCCCTTCCTAAGCCCCCTAACCCCTTTTTGCTCCTTGCCTTTCAAATTCCTGCTGCCACCACCAGGTGAGAGAAAGCCACTCCTAAGCTTCTTGGCTGGACTCTCCCCCGCCCTGCCTCTTGCATGATCGCATCTCTCCTCTCCCCAATCTTTCCTCTCGCTCATGACGGATGATCTGCTCTGCCTGGCTTGATCGACTACTCGGGCCGTCGAAACCTAAACTCGCGAATTCACGTGCTGGGCATTTTGTTATTGCTCTGCTCGCCAGGAAAATGCGTCTCTGGAGGGATTGTGGCAGGCAGGCACGGGAATGGATCCGATAGTCGCTTTCATGGATGCGGATTTTACGGATTAGAAACAACCTCGTTCCCTTAGACTACCGTCGTGGCGTCACAGGCGAAGTAGCGAAAAGACGAGCACTGACTTGCATTCGTTGCTTAGGAGTGGCGGTCCAAGGTCCAGTGTACGGAATAGAGTGACAGTGTGTGCGAAACGATACACAAGTAACAGCTTTGCGTGGGTTCGTAACAGGTCTGCCGCGTTGATTCACACACACGTTCTAACCCTAGCTGAGGTTTCCAGTGTCGTGAGACTTCTTCTGCTGGATCTTCCGGACAGCCTCCGCCGTTCGACTCGCCGCCATGGCTGCCCAAACTGATGCGCCAACTCTGCTGACTCCTCATATGACTCGTACGTCGTCCCGACACCACTCAGCCTTGACATAGCTTAGGCTAGCTGAAGATAGCGTGAGACGGCTTGAGATAGCATGAGATAGTATCAGATGCCTACGTTGCCCTTCCATCTTACTTTGCCGTCCCATTCTAACGTGTACGGCCAATAGGTTGCGGTCCCGTGCATCCTACGGTGTCCTCTAGCCGAACCTCTTGCCGCCTCGTCTCCACTGTGACCTCCCTTCCCTTGCTCTCCTACAACACGCCATACGCGATACAGCGTTGATTCGTTACCATCATACGTACTCGCGCTTGCCCTCATTCCCTACAACTCGCCTTCCCTCGCTTCGCTTCCTCACTCCCCCATTCCGCTCGAAAACCGCCAATCGTCCCCTGTTCTCCCCTCCCCCAGCAGCGCCGGCGCTGAGTCAAGCGGTGCTGGAGGCATTGGCGCGCAACGACCAGTTCCACGCGCACGTCTCCGCCCTCGCCGCTGGGGGGGGAGCGTCAGAGGTATGTCGCGCGTCTGGGATGAGGGCGTTGCTTTGGGAGTTGCGCCGAACTGAGTTGAGTTGAACCTAGTTTAGGTGAGTGAATCCAGCTGAGCTGGCTATAAAATTTATCGCCTTCGCGTGTTATCCGGTAATGGCGGAGGCATCTTCAGTAGCAGGGGCAGTGGCTGGGCCGTTTGCACGGGTTCGGAGAGATAAGAGGAGCACAGTTAACGAAACAGCACCAGCAAATGTTTCCTAAAACTTCTATACACCAGCATAATAACGAGACCAAGAGTACAGCAGAGCACGTAAACAGTGTGGCAAAGAACATTACCTACCATTTGACCCCCCTCCTCCCTATCCCCCTTCATCCTCCTCCATATCCTATTCCCACTCCAGCCCCCCGACGGCGCCGGTCCTCCCTCCTCCGGTCGCGGCACATCCGCGTACCTCCGCCGCCTCCTCGGTCTCGCGGGGGGGACGCGCGGCGCCAGCATCGCCAGCAACAGCTCCGCAGAGTCTTCCCCCCGCGCGCTCTTCCACGACCTCGACGCGCGCGATGGCCCCCTGCGCGCACCGGCGTTAGCCGCAGCAGCCGGAGCGGAAGTGCGAGCGGGAGCGGGAGGGGGGGGGATTCCGATCTTGGGTGGGGTTATGGGCCGCTCGCGGAAGGAGCGCAGCGTCTCCCCGATCCCCGCTGCCTCCCGCCTCTCCTCCTCCGCCACTTCCGCCGCCGCCGAGGCCTCCCGCATGAAGGTGCGCCAGCACGACCCCAAGGCGCTTGCGCACGCCGCGCTGGCGGCCGTGACGACCGGCAGCGCTGGCACCGCCGGCGGAACCACCGGCGCAAAGCTCGGCGCCAGGGAGAGGGGAGACGCGCACCGCGCACCGAGCGAGCACCTCCGCGGAGCCCCGCACGGCGGAAACAGAAGCCGCGTGGTGCCGCTGAGCGCGGCGCTGAATGCGGGCTCGCTGGGCGCGAATAACAGCTCCGCCTGCGCGGCGGACGGCGGCGACCGGTCAGGCGGCGCAGGGGGTACGGCGGGTGGTGCTCCCGCTGTTGAGACCCCAGGAAGGGGGAAGGGACCGGGAGCGACAGCGGCAACGGGGGCGGAGAGTTTTTCCGCGGCTGGCAGGAGCGCGCCGGGTGCCAGCAGCGCCGGGCACGAGCGCACAAACTTTTCCCCCGCGGCCAAAAGCCGGTTTGCGGATGCCGCGGAAGTGGCTGCAGGCGGAGCGGGTGTGGCAGGCCTTGGCGCAACGGCGGTTCCCGCGGGGACGGCGCGGAGGAGCAACAGCGCCGCTTCCTCGATTAGCGGCGGGAATTCCGCGCGAGTGAGGCGCAGCCACGACAGGAAAGGGATCTCTGCCACGTCATCAGGCGGTTCGTTAGGCGGCCCGTCCCTCGGAGGAGAGGACGCCAGGACCCGAGCCGCTAAAGGCTCTTCCAGCGGACACGTTGCCGGCGGCGACGGCGGCAGCGGCGGCGGAAGCGACGCTGGCGGCGGAAGTGGCGGAGGCAGTGGCAGCGGCAGCCCGCTGACGGCGAGCGCGCTTGCGCGGCTCCCCGGCGGCGAGTTAAAGCGCGGGTCGTCGTCGCGGCAGCAGAAGCAGACGCGGCTGCTGCAGGAGGTGGAGGAGTGGCTGCAGTCCGCCTCCCCCGCCACCCCCGCGGAAGCGGAAGCCGCCGCCGCTGCGGCGGCGGCCGCCATGGCGGCGAGCCGCGAAGGGGAGTGGCGGAAGCAGGAGGCGCGGGAGGCGGGGGAGGGGGAAAAGAGCGGAGGGAAAGAGCGGCAGGGGCGGGGGAGTGAGAGGGCGAGAGAGAGGGCAGGGGGGACGGAATCCGGAGCACGGGCGAAAGAGGATGGAACAAAGGGGAAGGAGAGGGAGAGGGGCAAAGAGCGAGTGAAGGAGAGAGGGAAAGAGGAGAGGGTGGGGAGGGAGAAAGAGAAGGCAAGAGAGGAAAGGGCAGGGGGGGCGGTGGCGTCAGCGCAGAGCAGCATGGCAGAGCATGAGAGAGGGAGTGGCAGTGAAAACGACACCAGCAGCAGCAAGCCCGTGCGACAGCTAAAGCAAACGGCGCAAGCAGCGCTGCCAGGCCAAGGGGAGGAGGGGGAAGCGGCAGTTGGCGGAGCGGGGGCGGGGGCGGGGGCGGGGGGAGGTGGGGGGAAGAACGGCGCAGCGGCAGGTGGTGATGGTGGGGCGGGCGGCGGCATATGGCAAGTGGTGCGAGAGGACGGGCAGGAGCACAGCCCCGTGTCCACACTAGACTTCAGCCAGGCCGCTCGCCCCGCTGCTGCTGCTGCTGCTGCTGGGGGGACAGGGGGCGAGGGGCGAGACGGGGACGGGGACGGGGGAGGCGGGGGAGGCGGGGGAGGAAGGACCAGTACCAGGGCTGGGAGGAGCCGCAGTGGAGACGAAAAGGACGGTGCTGGTGCCTCGGGTAAGTGGTGTGGCATGTGTTTGCATGTGTGCGTGTGTGCACGTGTGTGTGTGACGCGCTGGCAGAGTGGATGCGATGTGGAATAATCGTGCTGCTGCTGCTGCTGCTACCGCTCCTGCTGCTGCTGCTGCTCCTGCTGCTGCTGCTGCTCCTGCTGCTGCTGCTGCTCCTGCTGCTGCTGCTGCCGCTCCTGCTGCTGCTGCTGCCGCTCCTGCTGCTGCTGCCGCTCCTGCTGCTGCTGCTGCTCCTGCAAGTGCGGTGATTCTCTTCTGAATCCCCTTCCTCTACTGTGTGTGCCTTGCAGGGCCCGTCATTCCCCCAGTGTCTGCCTCTCTTTCCTCCGTGCGGCCATCCAAAGCGGGGGTTCTGCCAGGAGATGTGATGCCACGAGGGCTGCCACCGCCGCCCCATGCACTTGCCGAGAGTCCCTCCTCCCCCGGTCCTGGACACAGCAGCCCTTTTCAGCAGCAGCAGCATCAGCAGCATCGGCAGCATCAGCAACATTATGGGGAACAGCCGCCTTCCCCATCCCCCGGCAAGCACCATCATCACCATCACCACCACCAGCAGCGACACCAGCAGCATCAGTACTACAACCAGCAGCAGCAGCAACAACACCAGCATCAGCAGAACCAGCAGCAGCAACGTGAGACATTACCAGCTGTGCTACCAAGAAGCAACACAGATAGAAGCCTGGGCATGGGTGTGAATGCATGCACGGACATGCAGACAGGTCTTACCATGGGCATGTGCAGCATGGGGGGTATGGGAGGCATGGGAGGGTTGGGTGGCATGGGTGGCATGGACGTGGACGGCATGGAGCAAGACCTCGACTACGTGCGCCACATCCTCATGGCTGCTGGATTCGCTGGCCCGCACCTCCCGCCTCATCACTCCCAAACGTTCCCCATCCCACCGCACATCTTCCCGCATCTGGAGTCCAGCATTGTGGCAGCGGCCTCTCCTCGGTCGCTGCCTGGTTCGGCACAACCCCCCGGAAGCACCCTGGCAGCGGTCGAGCATGCGAAGCGAGCGGAGGAGCGGCGGCAGCGGCGGCTGCTGTTCGACGCTGTGAATGAGGCGCTGGGCCGGCGGCTTGGGCCCTTTGTGGAGCTGCCTGTCTGGGCCGAGGGGCTGAGAGAACCCCTGGTGCGGCCGCGGCCTATGGGGCTGGCGCTGCTGCAAGAGGTGTGGGGGGAAATCCACGACTGGCCGGTGGCAGCATCGGAAGAGGTGTATGATATCTTGGATGATGCCGCCCGGCGGGATATGGGGCGAGGCATGGACAGGTGGGTGGATGTGGTGGAGGAGATTGTGGGGGTGGTGGTGGAGGTGGAGGAAGTGGTGACCATGCAGTTGATTGCAGAGGTGGTAGGGGAGATGACGGATGTTGAGAGGCAGAGGAAGGCTCGGCGGGCGTCTCCTGCTGGCAGTCGCTCCTCTGGTGGTGGTGGTGGTGCAGCCCCTGCTACTCCCGCACGGAGGCTTTTGAGGTCAAACAGCGGTGGAGGGATTTCGGTGCAGGAGTTGGTGGGGGGAAAGAATGGAAACCCTCTGAAAGGGTTTCGCTGGCTGGGAAGAAGAGGGCTCTAGAAGTCGGAATAAAGGCCACCGTGTGTGTAAGGCATAGAGGCCGTTGAGTAGTGCCTCCATAGGTAACATTACAGCCAACATTTTTTAATTGGTTTAGAACCAGGGTTTAGTGCAATTTCCTTGCACTAAATCGTAGTGAAAGAATTTTACTATACTGTAGGGTATAGATTTGTATGTAGTGGTTTCTGGTTTGGCACGGGATTTTCCTGTGACGTTGACTGCTGTCCTTGTCGAGCCTCGACATGCAGTCCCTATTGGTCTCGAGTTCTGACAAAGTACAACCTGTCAGGCTGTCAGAGAGAACGCGAAAGCACATTCGCCTCTGGCTTCCAGCAAAGCCCGAACCACAACCTCGACCACTGTCAGGCCTCGGTAAAATTCAGGCAAGATATCACTCGTTCAAGGCCAATCACAGACAAACACCCGTCCCCAAAGCTCGCATACTACAGAGCGAAAAGTCAGCCGTCGTATGGGGCTTCGGACCCTTTGGTTTGGGCAGTACGCAATCAACGGACGAGGACGAGGCTTGTTTCCGCGGGAGGGAGGGGAAACAGTCAAGCAGCGACTCGTGGCTGATATTCGCCATACCACACCAGGCTCGGTTTGATGGTGCTGAGAACCGCTCGAGCCTCTCTCACTCGTCCCTCGTAATTCCCAGCCTCAAGCTGCTTCCCCCAACCAGCAGAACACGTTTCCCGCCATCACCTCGGCGAGCCTAATGGAGATGCGATTGGATGGACGGACCTTGTCTTGGGTTGGAGGGACCTTTCCTTGGGATTGCAGGGCCCTTGTCTCCCTGGTCGTCTGTTGAAATCACCCAAGCGCCACCCTCAATTCCTGGTTCTCATTCCTTTTCCTGTTCTCATTCCCTGCGAATCGTCTCTCATCTCCTGATGAGAGCAATAGCGCACCTGATAGAGAAACCTTAGATGTTTCTTGCCCATCTTATTTTATCGACCGAGAAAGCTTTGGTTGATCGTGGGTTCGCGTCCTCTCTCTGGACCTTAGGAGCTAGTAGGAAGAGCACCTGACCATTCAGGCTTCCCTCATCTAACATTCTCAATGGGTCGCTGTAGGCGAAGTCATTTTCGCCAATAGCTTCACTCAGGTTTCCCGCCACCGCTTCTCAGCTCAACGTCATTTTCTTTGACCTAGGGTCTGACGTCTCCTTAATCTTATCTTATTTCGGCCGTCAACATGGGGATGAATCGGCAATACGTCCCCCTCGACCCCACAAGAGGGTAAGAAAGCATTTCCCAGCTCACTGCTTCCCGTCCGTTTTCCCATCTGTTCAGTCCGTTGCGATGTTCAAGATCAAGGAAATACGATGTTTCCCATGTGTTCCTTGGGAACATGAAGTCGGCATGCAGTCGTTGGAACTTCCAGGCAACCGAACCACATGAAGCACCAGATCCGTATTGTTATAGCTGTTAAAGCTCGGTCATAAAAGCCGAATGTACTAGTAGAGGAAATATTAATAGACTCCAGCAGAAGACATTCAGTGTTTCGGCTTCAATGAACTCTACTCTAATCTCTTCTTCGACCGTCTCTCCTCGCGTTCGCCGACGCCTTCCGGGTTACCTCCCCTTAAGTCACTGGCTCTCCGTCATTATCCCCTTTCCAGGTCGGTTTTCGGTTACGTTCTCTTGCTGATCTTTCCCTTCGTAGCTCATTCTGTGCTCCCTGTTACCCTAAGCTGCTGCTGTTGCTTCGTCTCATTCACTGCCTCCGCTCTTGACCGCGCTCTTTTTCTCGGTTGCGCTGACCACTCCCATCCTCGCTCCTCTCGTTCGTTCCTCGCAGTGGAAAGTCGTCGGCCATCATCCTCGCCTTCGCCATGGCCGGCAGTGTCGCCATCCTCGCCGCGTCGGTCTTCCTCGGCGTCAAGCTCGCGTCCATGCAAGGGGAGGAGCCCCCTCCACCTCCCGCTCCGCTCCCCCCGCCGCCCATCAACGTCACTATCACGTCTAAGATCCAAATGGCGCTGCTCTTCCTCGAATCCCAAAAATGTGAGTTGCGTTGCTGCTCAGCCTGCACGTTTCTAGTGCAAGAATGAAGCACCTCAAAACTAATCACACACGTTTCCACGAAGCATTCTTTTCGCAAGATCCCGAGACATGCGAAGAACTTAGTTCCAGATCTGTAAGTTCCTGCGAAGTGTAAACCCCTGTCTGACTAACGGCCGCACTCCTCTTCCTGGTTTCAGCGGGTAAACTACCCCCGGATTATCCCATCACTTGGCGAAACAACTCGGGGCTAAGGGACGGTCAGGATCAGAACCGGGACCTCCGAGGCGGGTACTACATCGGCGGGAGCAATATCAAGTATCATTTCCCGATGGCGTATACCATCACCATGCTGTGCTGGTCCCTGCTAGAATACGAATCCGTGTACCGGCTGGTGAATATGCACAACGAAATGGCGGAGCTCATAGACTGGGGGGTACAGTACATCCTCGCTTCAAGATACCAGGACCTGATATTCGCGCAGGTGGGCACGCCGGAGATCGACGACGTGTGCTGGATCCGGCCCGAGGATATGAAGCCCGCGCAGCGCCCCACCATGTTCCCCTGCGACGTCACGCACCCGTGCTCCGACCTGGCGGGCGAATACGCCGCAGCTCTCGCCGCGGCGTCGCTGACGTTCCGCGTGGGCAACCCGTCGTACGCGGACCAGCTGCTTCAAAGCGCGGAGGAGATCTTCGAATACGCGGACCAGTACCGCGGGAAGTACAGCGACTGGGTGGAGGCGGCGCAGTCGGAGTATAACTCCACGGGGTACGGCGACGAGCTCATGTGGGGCGCCACGTGGCTGTACTTCGCGTCGGGAGATACCAAGTATCTGGACTATGTGATCGGGCCCAACTCGTACATCTTCGAGACGAACCAGTGGGGCCCGGGCACCAAGACGTTCGACTGGGACAACAAGGCGCCCGGCGTGCAGGTAGGCGTGGGGACTTGATTAGGGTTTGTAGCGAGGCGAGCAGCGTAGCATCGATCCGGAGGCTGGCCTATGATGTATGTTGTATTCCGGGAGCTTCAGGGTTGTAGCAGAGCTGTATTGGGTGTCTTTGTCTCGCTTGTGTCGCTTGTGTCGCTCGTTAGTGTCCATAGTATAGGTGCTCATCGTGTCTTGCGTTGCGCGCCTCTGCGTGCAGGTGCTAATGACGCGGCTTCTGATGCTCGGATACGGCGCGGGCAACGAGGGGCAGATCCCGCAGTACCTGCAGACGTACCTCAACGCCGCGAAGCTCTACGTGTGCCAGCACACGCCGCACTGGCTGCACGCCAACTTCACCGATGGTGGTACGTGGCCCTTCATCGTCATTCTCGCCCTCCCTTCTCCTCACCACCGTTCCCCTCCTCACCACCCTCTCCCTCTCATCTCATCATCCAGCCCGCACTCATCTTGCTGTCATCTGCCCCCTTTTTGCGTGATCTCAAGCCTTTCAACGCCGAAGCGATGCACGAAGTCAGCTCTCTAGGCTTGCTCCCCCGCTATCTACTAAAACCCCGCAGGCGGGCTGATCTACGTAAGCGACGACCATCCGATCCAGTACGCGGTGAACGCGGGGTTCCTGTCGGTTCTGGTGAGCGACTACCTGCGCATCGCCATCAACGCTAACGTCTCCTCGCACTACCTCGACTGCGACGCCACCATCGACGACATTGTCGACTTCGCCGCCTCCCAGGTAAGCGCTCAAGTTCTTGTTCTCCCTGTTTGTTTGCAACGCCAAATGTCGCCGTCATGTCGTTATGGACTCTGCCTCCTTGGCTTCGAACTCCTGATTTCCCTATTTGCGTCCTGTTAATGCCTGGTGAGAACTAAGGTTCTTGATCTCCACTAGGGGATACTGACGTGGCGGATCCGCTCTGGTTGTGCTTGCGTGTAGGTGAACTACATCCTGGGCGACAACCCTCAGAAGATGAGCTACATGGTGGGCTTTGGGGAGAAGTACCCCACGCGCGTGCACCACAGAGCTGCCTCCATCACGTCCAAGCATGTGGACCCCACGCCCTTCGACTGTGCCACCGGCGAGCGCTTCAGAGTGTAAGTTCACACCTTCGCAGGAACAATACGGAATAAGCTGACACCTGTGTCACACCCTCTTTGCTCTTTCCAGTGCGACCTTATGACATGAAACTGCTCTGGGCCACGAATACGTTCTGACATCCGTTCCCCCCCTCCCATCCCTTTCCTGCACTCCCGGACTCCAGGTCGAAGTACCCCAATCCGAACGTGCTGGTGGGCGCCATAGTGGGCGGTCCTGCCCGCGACGACTCATACCTAGACGACCGCACGCTGCCCCAGCAGAGCGAGCCCCTGCTGCACCTCAACGCCGTCTTTGCCGGGCTGCTCGCCAGCCTGGGCGCCTTTCGCAGCGGCAACAGCCCTGGCAACTCGCTCACACGCATGTGGGCGCAGATCCCATGGGCCAAGAAGTACGCCGAGTCTCTCGAAGAGCTCATTCCCAAGCCGTACCCCTCGCCGCCCAAGCCGCCTGTCTCCCCTCCCCCCTGGAGGACCCCTCCCCCCAAGGCTCCCAGATTCCCCCCCAAGCGCAAGGGCCCCAGCCCTCCCCCTCCTTATGTCAACCCTCCGCCCCCATCACCCCCTCCCCCGAGCCCCCCCCCTCCCCGCCCAGTCAAGAGAACCCCCCCTGCCCCTCCACTGTTCTTCAAGGGCCAGGGGAAGTGGAAGCTGCCCCCTGCTCTCCCTCCCAAAACTGCTCCCACGAGAAAGTTCCTCCCCCCCGCTGTCAAGGTTCCTGTGGTGCATGCTCCTCCTGCCATTCCCAAGGTGCCGGTCAAGCCTCCTGTTGTTGTAGAAGCACCTCTTGGGAAGATCCCTGCAGTTCCTGCTGCCAAGGTTCCAGCCCCTGCAGCAAAGGTCCCTATTCCTGCCAAGGTCCCCGTTCCTGCGGCTAAGGCAACTGCACCAGTTAAGGAAGTCCCTGCTACGCTCACTCCTGTTGCCGCGGGGAAAACTGCAGCACCAGCTGCGGGAACAACACCAGCAGTAGCTCAGCCTGGTAAGGCTACATTACCTGTAGGAAACCCTGCAGTGGTGCCTTAAAATCTGAACGAGTCTTGGGATTGAAGCTGGGGGGGCAGTGCATCGGGATAAATGGTGGATGGGTAGGCTTTTTAGGTAGGCAAAAGAGCATGCTGGATGCTTATAGGTGACCGGTTTTCTATCCTGTAACTCTGGTCGAGTAAAGGCATTTCAAGCATGTAGCCCAAGTTCATTACAAGTCCCTATGTTGTTGAAGTATACTCGACACAGTACTGTAATCCCCCGTATGTAAGCCCCGCCGAAATAGTCAGCCCACAGGTGGCTTATGCGGGGGATAGCTTATGATATGGCGCATTTTTGAGAGTACCCGCGTTTCTGGGTTTGCATTTTACATAACACCCTGCACGTTTTTCTTGCCTTAAAATAATACTCTGTGTCAAACATGTGTATTAGTTATGTTTGCATAGACTGTATAGGGTCACCTCTTAGAGGGTACAATACTTGTATCTATCTGTACTCTCCCACTACTCATCATTCACTTCTCTCATTTTGCTATGGTATCACGCGTAGGTTAGGATCCCCCACCTACCGCTTCCGCTCGTCCTCTAGCTAGGCCCTGCCGCGCCCCTCCTGGGCCCCGTCGCAACCCCCTAGCCCCGTCGCGACCCCCCTGGGCCACGTCGTGCCCCTAGCCCTGCCGCGCCCCTCCTGGGCCCCGTCGCGACCCCCTAGCCCCGTCGCGACCCCCCTGGGCCCCGTCGTGACCGTAGCCCTGCCGCGCCCCTCCTGGGCCCCGTCGCGACCCCCAAGCCCCGTCGCGACCCACTAGCCCCGTCGTGACCCCCCTGGGCCCCGTCGTGCCCCTAGCCCTGCCGCGCCCCTCCTGGGCCCCGCCACGCCTGCAGGCCCCGTTGCCCCCCTGCCCGGCCCCGTCGCGCCCAACCGGCCCCGTCGCACCTGCCCGGCCCCGTCGCACCCGCCCGGCCCCGTCGCACCCTGTCCAGCCCCGTCGCCGCCGCCCGGCCCCGTCGCACCCGTCCGGCCCCGTCGCGCCCGCCCGGCCCCGTCGCACCCGCCTGGCCCCGTCGCACCTGCCCGGCCCCGTCGCACCCGCCCGGCCCCGTCGCACCCTGCCTTGCCCCGTCGCCGCCGCCCGGCCCCGTCGCACCCGTCCGGCCCCGTCGCGCCCGCCCGGCCCCGTCGCACCCGCCTGGCCCCATCGCACCTGCCCGGCCCCGTCGCACCCGCCCGGCCCCGTCGCACCCTGCCCGGCCCCGTCGCCGCCGCCCGGCCCCGTCGCACCCGTCCGGCCCCGTCGCGCCCGCGCGCCGTCGCACCGGCCCGGAGCCGTCGCACCCGCCCGGCCCCGTAGCACCCGCCCGGCCCCGTCGCGCTCGCCCGGCCCCGTCGCACCCGCCCGGCCCCGTTGCACCGGCCCGGCCCCGTCGCACCGGCCCGGCCCCTGCGCTCATCCCTGCCCCGGCCCCTTCATCCTCCCTGGTACGGTTCTCCCCCCACCCCCCCCCCCCCCCCCCCCCCCCCCCTCCCTGCACCGTCCTGCTCCGCACTGCACTGCCCTGCACCGCACTGCACCGCCCTGCACCGCCCCGCACCGCACTGCACTGCCCTGCCCCGCACTGCACCGCCCTGCACTGCTCTGCTTTGCACTACACCTCACTGCACCGTACTGTCCCGTCCTGCACTGCCCCTGATGGCGGCGGAGCTTCGCTTCGACGCTGAAGGCCAGCCTCTGGAGTTCGAGGCGGGGCTTGCCGACCTCCGGCGCCAGCTCACTGGCCAGCGGCAGGATGGTGAACCGCTTTCCGCACACCTTGACGGTACGCTCCCCTGCCCAGACCCCCCTGCTATTCTGCCCGCTGACTCCACACCCACTGAGCGCGAGTCTACTGCTGCCACTGCCCGTGCGCGCTCTGTCTGGCTTTCTCGCGATGCTATCGCCCAGCTTGCCATTAGCAACGCCCTTCCCCCGTCCGAGCGCCCTCGCTTAGGTCCCTCACTACTGCTCAGGCATACTTAGATGCTGTCATAAAGCGCTATTCCACCTGTGAGAGTACGACCCCGTTACACCAATTTCCCCTTTCCATATTTCCTTTCTATTTCATTCCTCTTATTCTCCTCATTCATTTGGTCTTTATTTCATCTCATTTGGTTTCCTATTCCTCCGTTTCCATTATCCTTTGGTTTATCCTGTTATTATAATTATATCACCGACTAGGCTTGGGATGTACTGGCGCGCTATATCTAGCGTAATCCTGCCGTAATCCCTTATAGCCAATAGCCTCGCGTGGCTATACGCATGGTGATTCTATATTCTAGAAGGGTCTATTCCCTTTGGATAGGATAAACCTGGTTACCTGATGTAATCTGGAAGTATAAAAGCACCTTCTACTGATTGATAGTGCAACATTGAGCAAACCTTTCCTCGGGACATTCGATCCTGTGACACTTGGTAATCAGAGCCAAGGGTTCAGCTCAACGCTTAACCGCTGGGCCCCCAGGAGCACGCGGAGGATGGAGTCGAAACTTCGTTTCCTGTAAGGACAATGCACTTTCATTTAAGTTTCGACTCACCTCTCGCAGTTGCACCTGGGGTCCCCTTCGAAGGGGAGATGCCTCGCCAACCGTTCGATGGACTGCATCGACGGTGCCGATTTTTCGCGGGGGCAAACGGCCTCGACCTGGCGAGCGCGTCAGTTCCGGCGGAACACTCCCTGCGACATTCGGAGAAGTTCGCAGTTCGCGACAACACTTGGAGTTGCGCGGAACTCTGCGGAGGTTCGACCGACGACATCCGTCCGATGGAGATTCGACGCTTCAGATCGACCGAGGCGAAAACGAAATCCTGCTGAGCGAGTTCGAGTTTCAGCGCGACTGGGAACGAGACCTCGCAAGCCGCGAAGATTTTCGGAGCGTCCGATCGTTCGACAGCCGACATCGACGACCGAGAATTGCTGCACGAAACAAAACAACCCGGGCGCCGAAAGCTGCTGAACGTGACTCAGGAGTATCCTCAGATCGCTTGGAGTTTGGACCGTCGGATCGAATATTACTTCAACGGACGAGATGGAGCGCGACTTCTGCACGAAGGGAGAATGACGCGCAGAACCAGAAACTGGCCGCCTTCAACATCGTTGACAACATTTGGACAACCAAATTCGGACTCCTCTATTTGGTGATGAATATGGTGCGCAAAACATCTGCGGAGTCAGAAATCTGCCCAAGAATTACCTACTTGGTAATAGCTGCAAGCAGAAAATTGACACGAGAACGTGGATCGTCGGATCGGTGCAGTATCAACGACACGAATGCAGCGGAGACTACACTATGGGAAATCATCATCATGGAGACAACATTCGTGACCAGCGACAGCACAATCGACGCATCTTCTGACTGGTGTCGATAACGATCGAGTCATTTTGACGAAGTCATCTTCGTTAAAAATGGATCGACATCAACACAGCGAGATCTTCACCCAGGAAAAACTATGGAGCTGCGTGAAGACATGTTCTCCATCCGCGAGACACTTCTTCATACAAATTGATCGACAACCTATGGGATTGCAGAGAAGTAGCTGTTTTCTCTTGCAATGCTCCCAAGTTCAAGTTGCTGCGAAGGAGCAGATTTCGCACGCAACGATGACGCAGTGAACTCGTCTCGTCAAGGCCAGCGAGACACTACTTCGTAACAGGAGCTGAACGATTCGTCTTCATCAAGAATCTCAGCCATCCGAGGTGATTGATTGGAGCAGTCTCAACATCAACCTTACGAGGCGACACACCAATCATGCGTCGCGATTCCAGGTGTTAATGACCTGTGTGGAAGAAAATTCCGTGCATGTCACGATGCTTGACAGATTGAGGAGTAATTAACCTCTAATCCGGCAAGTACTCGTTCACTAGCGACCCTACGGCACATGCATTGGAGGCGATTCTACCAGAAGCCGAAGCGTTACAAGCATCAGCGTAACTTCGACGATGCAGGAGAACGTCAAGCAACACGAGGTGTCAACAAATGAGGGAGATGCGGACTACTACAACACGATCACGCGCTCTACCGACCGTACATCGGAGGCACGGATGAGCATACCAGGGATTGCTACCCGTGGATACATTGAGGGGAGAAGCAAATTTCTCTTCATACCCTCAAATGAAACAATCACCGGCAGCAATGGAACAACACATGTGTACTAATGTGCACGTGTTCCTGGTAGTTACGCCTGTTACACCCATCAGGAACACTCTACTGGGAAGGGGGAGTTGATGGATTCTCCTTCAACCGGTACGAGTTAAGAGAATTCTCTGCAGCAGCTGCCGCCGTCGCCGTCGTCGCTACCGCCGCCGCCGCCGCAGCAGAAGACTCGACACAACAGTCACAACCAAATCCTGATGGATGATTCTCCACTCAATGGAGATAATGCTGGATTATATTCCAGTGGATCGTTAAGTCCCGGCCAGGCACAGTACTATGATTTCCAGCTAGTGGGAAGGAGATACCACTATGCGAGGAAACAACATGGCAATGCCATATACCCTCAAGAGCATCAGATATTTGCTCCTATGGGGATGGGAGGACCACGGTACTCTACCGATATACAGTCCTCATGGCCTATGGCTTTCCTTAAAGTCATAAAACCTGCGTCGCAACCAATCCATCATCAGCACCAACTCCACGGAAGCAGATAGGCGTGGAATGGAGCGCCGACGCCACTCCGGATAGTGGACTCCGCGTATCTCCAACAACACCCCTGTTTGCCGAAATGGAGCAGACTTCAACATTCATGCTGAGTAGCTGAGACATCTTCGACATCAACGCTACTTCAGGGACAGTGGCAGAATAAGACAACACATGATGGCACCAGAAGACCTATCCCAATATGTGCGCCTAGACACCGATGCCTACCGATGGCCTCCGTGCTAAACTGGAAGTGCATAAGGTCATACTGGATTGGCTGTCAGCAATGCCAATTTGGAAATGGGAGAGGATTATTTGGGAATAACCCCTAATATTCCCAGATGTCCTAACCCATCACAGTGGGATATCTATGCAGCAGAGATTCCTTGCTTGAGCAACTACCGAGGGAAACTACTTGGCGCTGATTCGGGAAGTTACCAGCTCCGCGTTTGTGGTACCAACCCTTCGCATGGTTCTGAACACAAGGGATACGCTGAGCAGCACTTCGCATGCGCTGTTGTACTCAAGGCAATGTGAGTAGCAGACCGCGTGGTGGACAGGGTTA